CCTTGAGCCTGAACATGACGTTGAAATGGGATGGAACACTGGGGGGAAGGTGAGCATATTCTGCATGTGGGAGTATATGGCTCTTCCCCCAAATGGCTGCACAAATTCTCATCTCAGTTGCTCTTCCAGAGTCTTGCCGTTGCCCCCAGCAAGACATAGAATCTTTGAACTTAGGTGAGCCTTTGTGACTTCCTCAACTATTAGAGGATGGTGGACGTGATGCTGTTAAATTTTGAGTAGTTACATGAGGTCAGGAGAGTCATGGTCTCTCTCGGAGTGTTTGCCACTGAAACCCTGCCATTGTGCCTCAGGGCTGCCAAGCAGCCCCTTGGAGAGGTCACTTGTAGGTGTTCTGGCTAACAGTCCTGGCTGAGGTTCTTAGAGCCAGCATTGGTTGTCAGATATGCAAGCATGGGAGCCTTCTGATAACCCCAGCCTCTCCTCCTTTGAACCACCCCAGCTAAAGCCACATGGAGGGAGCCAGAGGTAAGCTATCCCCACCAAGTCTCAGATTTGGCACACCTCTGAAAGGCCATCCCAGTATCAGAGCTTCCTGTGGGCTTGCCTGTGCACATGGAGAGGTCATGTATATATATGGAGGTCAAGGGAGAGGTCAGGGCCAAAGATGTTCATTTGGGAGATACCAGAATGTGCATGGTTGTCAAAGTCTCAGGTCTGGGTGACATAGCCTAGGGATAAAGTATATAGAGAGATGGGGGTTAGGGCTGAGCCCTGGGGCATTCCATCACATAGAGTTGGCAGGAAAGGAGATCTAGGAAGGAGTTGGAGGAGGAGAAAAGTCAGGACACAGTGGGTCCATAGACAGGGAGAAGAGGATGACCCAAAGGAGAGGGCTGCTGAGGACAGGTGTGAAAACGTCTGTGCAGTGGGATACCTGAAGGTCAGGTGACCTGAGAATAGTGTTAATGCAGCACAGGGGGCAGTGCCAGTGGTCTGGAGAGTTCATGGAAATTCCAACCCTAACCCTTCTAGCCCGTGTCCAGAGGTCAATCAACGAACCCACAAAGGAGGTCCTGACCTTTCCCTCCTTGGAGTTCCTGCAGCTCTAGCTCATTCTCTGTTGTTCTGAACTCCAGGCTTGTCGGCTCAATGGGGCTGTGGGCTTCTGAGCTGGTCTTTTGTTCTTTTGTGTTCTCATCAGTTCCAGGGAGTGCTTGGTTCCTACTAGAAACCCACTCAACACTTGCTGATTGAGCGCTTGTCAATTTCACCCAAGAAATTGAAATGGCTGAGGACCACCCCAGAGTCTAAGCGGCTTATGGAGAAATCACAAACCATCAGGGCTGTTAGAAGTTCTAGAGAGATCAGAACTCAGAGAAAGGAGGAGAAGATACTAACAGGTGCCTGAGGCAGATGGCTGATCATTAATGAGAATTAAGACAAGCAACAGCTTTTCTGGCAACTGGGGGGCTGTGGACAGTTTGTCATCTGTTAAACAAACAGTCTTTATTTCACGAGATTTCTGGGGGCTGCTCCAATGTTAAAAGGGAGTGCTGTCTGTCGAATGGAGTTCCAAGTTCTTGGCTGGGGAGCTCTTTCTCCTTGATGCCAGGAGGAGATGAGACCCTGTGTAAATTTTGAGTAGTTACATGAGGTCATGTAACTACTCCCATGAGAAGGAGAGGTGACATCCCTGCTCCCGGTCAGGCCAAGACAGGGTCCCAATAACTGCAGCAATCTCAGTTATGGTGGTGTAGTACCCTTGCTGTGTCCTCAGTCTGGGACGATGGTGGGGCCAGAACCCTTGCTCACACCTGCACGAAGAGGGGAGCTGTATGGACCATCAGCAGGGTTGGGGACGGGGGTGCTAAAGACAGACAAGCAGGGTTGCAGGGAGCAGGTGCCTATTCTGACACGACCAGGGCTGGAGCTCTGAGGGGTCCCCTGCAGCAGGGGTCACTGCACCCCCATGGTGCACGGGCGTCTCCGTGAGCGAGGTGGCTGCTGTTCTGCATCAGACACAGACTGACAGCACAGCTGCCAGACCCTCATGTCCCCACCCGCGGTTTTGCAACCACACAGGGGTGAGGCCTGGGACAGAATGATTTGTTAGTGCTCACGCAGGGAGACACAGCCACCCGCCAGAACTGCATTTACCAGAGACCTCTGACCCTGTCCACAGCTGTGGTCGGGACGCTGTTCCAGGCAAGCTATGTGACCACTCGCAGAAGGACAGGCCTCCCTCTGTCAGCCCCGGAGGACTGGTTTTTGTCTCGTACTCCACAGACAGCTTAAAATTGTTATGGAAAAACATTTTATTAACATGTTCAACTCACTTCCAATGAAATGATTAATTTTTCATTTACAGTGGTGTCCAATGTTTGTCTTCTGTTCTTTTTTTTTCTTTCAAAACCAGCACCAAAAAGTAAAACAAAAATACCATGGGTACAGTACGTAATGTAAGTTAACTAATGGAAAATATATACATTTGACTCTGAAATGGAGAAAAGAGAACAAAGCAATGAGATTATTGCTGCTGAGGATCTTTCCCTGTGTTCTGATAATGTCAAGCCATGGTCAAGTGAGAGGGCTTCATTTGCACCCACAAAAGTAGCACCATAAGGTCGTAAGACTCTGTCGTTAGTAACGCGTTTGTGCAATCAAAAAGGTACAGTACTTGAGTGACAGTACAGGGTATTGTAAATAAAGAAACGTCACTGTTGTGATCACAGGGTTTCAATGTCTTCTGTACAAAGTGGAACAAGAGTGCCATCATGGCTTCGCCGAGATCAATCATTGCTTGTGCCATGAACAGAAGGCGGGCTGGTGAATTTCAGAGCAACAAGTGCCAGCATGAGCTAAAGGAGGTCAGAGAGACATGGACTCTGGGGGAACCAGTGGGTGTTCCATAATAACCAAATCAATTATTTGCATTTTGAGAGGGTGGGGCGCTTGCCAGATGCATCCAGTTGATATAGTCAAGGTAGCCAGTAGGGGGGAATATTCAGAGGCATCGGAGAAAGTGCTAGCCTAGGGGCACGTACATGCCCAGCTTGGGCGGGCCCCGTGGGTTCCTTAGCTGGCCGCCCTGGCTCAGCTCCTCAGCCCCCGAGGCTGCTATCTTTCTGACACTACATGGTGAAGCACAGCCCATTTTGGAACCCTAGCTCCCCAAGAATTTGAGAGTTTTGCAGAAATGGGGTTTGGGGGAGTCTGTCAGTGGCCAAGCCTGAGCTGGGGAGGACAGCGTTTTGCATAGGCTGTGCTGCAACACTGACGGGGTTTACACTGCAGGGTGGATCACGCTATCCTGGGACTCTCTCAATCAGAGCACCCACGCAAGCTTCTCAAATACTTCTCGTTGATTCAAGAGGAACCGCACAAATCTCTTGTCATCCCTACCACGTCTCTATCTCTGGAATATTAGAAATCATAAATTGAAACAGCCTGTAAGACGGGGTTGAGAAGGCAGGAGATTTTCTTTTTGTTTTCTTTCTGATTTAAGCTAATGGACCCTAAAGTTGTGACATCATCAAAAACCAAAGCAGATACATAAACACAGCACCAATAAATCAGGAAGAACTTGGAGATGATCCCTGGGACATTGGCATAAGTGAGATTCCCCCATCTGCAATAAGGGAGAAGGTGGGTTTGTCATGGTAAGGTCCTTGAACATAAGCACCCATCAAACACCCACCAAGCTGGTGAGCAAAACAGGTCTCCTGGCATCTAGGGTCTTTCTCTCCCAGCTCCCAAAGCGGGCAGGGTCCTACCATCTTCTGTGTTCTTGTCATTTCCTCAGACTTCTAGACAGGGCACAGCTCTGTTTTGATAGGTTGCGGGAGGGAAAGACCTTCTTCGTGCTTTTCTGAGGGTCATCCTTATCTTACTAAGAGGATGAGTCAATACCGACAGCATGACAATAATGGGTCCCCCAAGGTCTGGGCTGTGGGAAGGCTCGGTGCTTGTGCAGTGATCCGGGCCCCCCAGGCCGAGGGGCTTCTGGAGGAAACCAGTCCCATGCCAGGGCGAAGGAGGCAGAGCTTCTAAAAAGAATCAACTTCAGATAGATGGCCAAGGTCAATGGGAAGCCACGTCTAAGGTGCAAAGCTTTATGAAGTACTGACAAGAGTGGAGGCCCCCAGAATGTGGAGGGGCCACACACCCCTGACAAAGCTGTCCTGAGCTCACCTTTATGCCAGGGAACAGTCCCATCACCCAAACGAACAGATGTCCCATTTCATAGCACCTCGAAGAAAGACTTTTCTGTTTCCCTATGTGGTAGACAGTAGAGTATACAAATTAGATGCCTGCCCAAACCCAAACACTTCCAGAATATTCTCCCCAACACAGGTTTTTACGCAAAACTATGCGGCCCTGGTGTCTTTGGCTGATACAGATTCAGACTGTCAGGGACAAGACTTCCAAGAGAAGGCCTAGGATAGAGAACACATTTTCAGAGATGAGCTGAGAGGCTAAGTGCTGACCCTGGCCCTCTCGGGGGGAGCCATTGGCAGAGGCTCACTGACATCTGTCCTTCCTTCCGGGGTGTCGCAGGCTTTCAGAATAAAGCCTGTTTGAACGTGGAATGTCTCACTGGGGGGATAGTCCCCCTGCCCCCGGCACATCAAGCACCGGGAATTCAAACGTCAAAAGAAAGCTGGACAGAAGCGCTCAGTGACGTCTCTTTCTTTTGACAATTGTCTGTCAGAGGTGTTCCCTTTGAGGTACACAGAACCTTAAAAATTACAATAATTTTGTGACTCATGCCTATTTTTTTCCTTACCGGAGAAAGCCATCCAGTGGCCATTAACAATATATTAAGTACAAAAGCACTAACAGCAAACGTCAAGTCCACGCTCAAGTTCTATGCGATTGGATTCTCGGGACAGCCTGGTGGGGGAGCGGCGCTGTGCTCTGGGGGAGGGGGGGTCCTGGCCGCAGGACTGGTGCGCTCTTGGGTGGGGAGGCTTTCAACTAGCCATGTCATCAGGATTCAGGCCTCGCGCTGGCGCGTCGAGGGACCCTTGGGCCACGTGTCATGAGCTTGGTGGCGGTGGCAGCGGCTGGCGCATCTTGTTCGCATAGAAGTCCCTGCACGTCTGGCAGCAGCGCTGGTACCACCGCATGTCCTGACAGAGGTTCTTTTCTCGGATGACCCGGCAGTACACTGTCCACTGGTCCCGCGTACATTTGTAGGTCAGAGCGGCTACAGGGACGGTGGAAACAGAAAGCCCAGGGGTTACGGATGGCCCAGGGACATCAGGATGCCTGCACAGGGGTGGCCTGTGGTCTGACACACTCCGGAGCTGCCCTCACCGACAAGCACACTGGAGCCTTGCACGAACGGAGGGAATACACCCCCTGCCGGGGCCACGGGACGCCGCTGTTTTCGACAGGGGACACGCTCCTGTGTCTAACCCGACCCCTTGGCAGAGCATGGGTCTGCCTGCGGCTTCCTCAGGGCCAGGGCACTGTGCACCCTGCTTCTCACCTAAGTGGCACTTGCTGTTATTTTTTTGGAGAAGGACACCATCGTTGCTGGCATTCATAAAACAGAACGGCACGGGGCGGTGGACATCAAAGGGCCACCAAAGCATAAGCTCATAGCCTAAGCAAGTGGCCCAAATCTCCTTCAGGGTCATCCTGCAGAGAGAATGTCCTGCCTGAGGGAGGTCTCTGGAGCATACCAAGGGGGTGTGTGCATGCAAAAGCCCGGGGTGCCCCTCTGCAAGTTCAAAGACCCTCCAGTGAAGCAACTTAGAAACCCTCTTCGTTCTGGCTGTGTTCCAGCGTTAGGGAAAGGGGCTCTGGGTAGGAAAATATTCCTCAGGGATTTCTATTTGGAAAAGCGGACACCGTCAAAAGGAATCACCAGATTAGTGTTAAATGCTCCTCTTCTCCCTCCTGTGCCACTGAATTAAATACTCCACCCTATCAACACCTCTGTTTTCTTCTCAAGCATTAGCTTGGGGAGCATCCCATGCGAATGTCACCGAGGCTTCATGAATGTCGCCCAGCTCCTTCACTTCTGGAAGAATGCACCTCCCTTTGCCCTCCTCGTGCACAGGAGCCCAAAAACATTAACTGAAGACCACCCTCCCGTGTTCCTCATTGTTGGCAGAGGGACTAAGCGGGACGCTTGAGCCGTTGTTGTGTTTGAGGTTGCCGCTAGCAGACGTCTTTTTCATGACAAGGAACGAAATTCCACCTCTGAAACCTCTAACCTTCTACAGAGCTGACAAAAGACCTCTTCAGGGCTCAGCTAGGGCCCAAAGGGGGCTTTCTGGCTTACAGAACTCCCACCTCCCCACCCCAGAAACCAGGGGCCACTCACCGAGGCGAGGGGAGGTGATGGTGTTCACGTTGATCTTGTCATTGCAGACCTCCTGGTGGCACTGTCTGTAGGCTGCTGGCTTCGAGAGGGCGGGGCACTCGTTGCCATGGCGGCCGGTGACCTTGTGCATGCACTGTACTACGCGGGACTGGAGGCCCTTCCCACAGGTTGAGGAGCACTGCCAGACACAGGGACAGCCTGAGCTGGGGGCCTAACCTACACCCAGGAGTCCTTGACAATGGCTTTGCAATGCATGCCCCTCGGTGTCATTCCCAGGGGCTTGAAATAATGCGGGACAAGGGGCTTCACTGCATCCCAGGTGTCTGACAGAAACCTGCTTCAAGATGTTACGGACTGAATGTCTTTTGTCTCCCCAAATCCCTAACTCCCAATGGGATCGTATTTGAAGGTGGGGCTTTTGGGAGGTAGTTAGGTTTAGATGAGGGTATGAGGGCAGAGCCTCCACGATGAGAACTGTGTCTTTATAAAGAGGAAGAGAGACCAGAGTCTTTCCACCATGTGAGGACACGGCCAGGACACGGGCCCTCACCAAGAAACAAATCTGCTAGCACCTTGACCTTAGACTTCTCAGCCTCCAGAATCATAAGAACTAAATGTCTGTGGTTTAAGACCCCTAGTCTATGGAGTTTCACCCCAGCAGCCCGAGCTAAGATGGGAGACAGTTGCTAAAACATTAATGTATGAGGCCTGCATTTCACTTCCCACCCTCTCTACCCCCATTCCCAGCAGAGAGCTGGGCTTTTGAAATCCTTGAGACAGTGGACAGGGTGGCCTGATGGCACCCAGGAGGCACTGGGCCTGATGACCAAGTGGGTCTTCCCCAGTGCTTTGTGCTGTGGGAGGCTCTGGGGTCTTTGCCTGGTCTTGGTTGTGGAGGGGAGCTCAGGCATGAGCAGGGTCAAATTTCCCGCAAGCCTGGAGGGTCGGGGCTCAGAATCAAGGTGGAGAAAATGAAGTGCAACCTTTTTTTTTGCATCACAGAGTCATGGAATCTCATACTGTTTGTGGCTGACAGCTTTAACTCAGACACCAAATCCCGGGCTGCTGGTAGACCTGGGTTTGCTAAAACCTACCTGGCATAGCTCAGCAGACATCCCAGGTTCCCAGTGAGCGGACTCAGTAGGACTTTCCCAAGTCCTGTCTCTCTTTGCATCCCTTTAAAGTGCTCCACAGGGAGACTGTCAGCGACTCAGCTTCGCCACCCTGATCCTGCTGTCCGAATTCCTGGGCACTTGCACGCTCTCCCAGGAGCCCTTGGAACTGTCTCTCCAATAAGCTGGTCGCTTCCAGCCAGAGAGCCAGGTTCCTATGCACTTTCTCCCCATCTGGTGTCCCCTAGCGCCCACGCAACCCGTGATTTATGGGGTTCTGAGAGCACTCTGCAAAACTTTAATAAAGCAAAGGCCTCAGGTGCAATAGCCCAGCTGGAGTTAATACCGGCACCTCGGGGTGGAGAAAGGAGAGCAGGGCCTGCCCTCTGAATGCCACATGCGGTGACGACGCCAGGTGCCATCCGGAGAGTGTGCCTCTCTGTCTCCTCCCCTTTGGGCTGGACCTTGGCCTGTGCTGGAGGGAGGACCTTCCCTCCAGGGGTCTGCGAGGAGTCACCAGGCACAGGCTTGATGGGAGACTGCTGGTACCACTTGTGACCACGTGGGCACTGTCTGCTCCGCAAAGAGCTTTTGTGTGCCAGGTGAATTCCTCTGCAGAATCATGTGGGGTTTTTGTTTTCGTTTTCACTTTAGAAGGATAAAGAGGCTCAGAGGGAATGGTGCTCTGAAGGGGTCTTTGCAAATCACAAAGAAGGTGGGAAAACCACAAGTGACACCCCCTGTGGGCTCTGGCATGTTCAAACCAGAACAGGCACGCTCCCCAACAGGCAAGGCGGGCCCCAGGACCCCCGCTTTGTGTCTTGCTTCACATCCTATCTTCTGGATACACTAGGCATGGGCTGCTTGTGGGCTTGAGAATTCACTGTGCATTAATGGATGCAGACTTCTGGGCCCCACCCTAGACCTTGGGGGTTGGCACTGGAGCACAAGGGAAGTTTGAGGGCTGCTGAGGTGGAGGAACAAGGTCATATGAGGAGGTCCCACCAACAGGAGACCTTGAACTTAGGACGGCTGCCATAGCAACAGGACTTATACCTGGGGGGCCTCTTGGGGGGGGGGGGCGGGGAGCTGACAGCAGGTTGGGATCTGTTCGTGGGATTACCTGGTGAGCTTCTAAAAACCTCGGTGTCCCAGGACAATCAATCAATATAGGTAGAAGGGGCACCCAGAGCTGAGAACCTCTGATTTATCCTGAACTTCTGCCCAGTGGCCTGTGTAGTGGAATGAGCTCTCTCTTCTTACACTGAAGTAGTTGAATATTCATATACAAATACCGTAAAACCTTAGATTGTAACTTGTTCTTCTAGTGCTCTGCAAGATGAGCAAACATTTCTAATAAGTTAAAAAAATTTTTTTAATGTTTATTTATTTTTGAGACAGAGAAAGACAGGGTGTGAGCAGCGGAGGGGCAGACAGAGAGGGAGACACAGAATCCGAAGCAGGCTCCAGGCTCTGAGCTGTCAGCACAGAGCCTGACGTGGGGCTGGAACTCACGAACCACGAGATCATGACCTGAGCCGAAGTCAGACGGACACTCAACTGACTGAGCCACCCAGGCGCCCCTATTATATACCTTTAAATATGAATGTGTAACTACCTGAATAAATTATATAGTTTATGGAGACATTTGACTAGCCCACCTATACCAGTAAAGATTTTTTATATGTAAGGTGGTTGTAAAGTCAAAAAAATAAAATAAAATCTACTTCCTGGGAAAATGGGATTACCATGTACTTGGGACCAGATTCCTGTGACTATTTGGAATCAACTGCCTTTGTGAGAAAAGAGGTATCTGCAGGCTGATCTACAAGTGACATCAACATCCTTTTTCTCATCGGATCTTGACCTGCACCATGGGCCCTGGAGCCACCTGCTATAGGAGACACACCTGGAAGGAAGAATTAGGAATTAGGTGTCTTAATATTCCTTGGAGAGGGGGACCACCCAGGGTGGGACTGGTGGTGGTTGGGGCCCCAGGAAACAGCACAGCCTAATGCAGAAGGTGCCTAAAGCTATGCCTATCTTGCTCCTATGGCACCCCCTGACCGCGAGGTACCCAAAGCCCTACTGGCTAGGCGGTCGGCCAGGGGTGAGTTACTTCCTGGCCAGGAAACTCAGGAAGTGTTTCGATGTCTTTTGCAGGTGTCATTATTATGTACGTAAAAATCAGGGCAAGAACTCAATCCTGTGGGTCTATTCACACCAAGCGCAAAACTGACAAAGGTCTCTGCCTGAAAATGATCAATGACCATTGTAAAACTCAGGTATTCAGGGTGACCTTGATGGATGATTTCCTCCTCTGAAAGTTCTGAGTCATGTTTCACATGCTCTGGGGCCAGGAGGTTGGGTGGGGGCAGGGAGAGCATTCATGATGTCCCCCTGCATATGCAGATGGTGTGTTTGCTTATCCTGTGGGTTCGCTTGTAAGGTTCCATAATAAGGTGGAACATTCCACAACAATCTAGAGGCTGCTGGTCACTGAGCTCAGTGGGGGTGTCTGGTCCAAGGTCACACAGTGAGTGAGTGGCAGAGGAGGGACAGGACCCCAGCTGCCCCATTCCATGGACCAAATTCCATCTTCCTGTACGAATTACAGCTTGCACTGGTGGGAGCCTCTCTGGGAGTCAGGAAATGAAAAGCTAGGTCACTGCCCAGGTCCACCTCTTATTCATTATCTTTCCTAGTATGGGTCACTGGCCTTTAATTTCCCAGTCTGGAGAAAAGAACTGTTCCATGAGATCATGGAATTCTCTCCAAAGATCCCGCATAGAGACTCAAGTGTCTGTTCTCATGGCTCTCCAGCACCTCTGTGAAGCTGGGCAGGGCCAGGTGACAGGCTGGGGGCCGACCCTCCGCTGCTGTGGGGGCATGTAGGGACCCTGCAGGCCCTGCCCCTCATAGGGATTTGCCTCTCAGATTAGGCTTGGCTAAATTTTAGCTGGAGTCCTAGGAACTCTGCTGTTCCCACAGCGGTGGGCTGTGAAAGTCCTGTACTCATTAAAAAGAACTTTTGAGAACCTTAGAGCATTTGCTTATCCACCTGAATTGTGTGTGAGCCAGCCCCACAGAGGCTGCTTCAATGCCTCAGGTGAGAAGACAAGCATGTAACCAAGTGGCAGGTAAAGAAACTTCCATTTCAGTCCAGGTGGTGCTAAGCCTACCCACCCCTGCCGAACACCCATGGGTAACCACACTCTCCCCGACTGGGGTTTTACTGGGGACAGAGCCATAGGGGCAGCACAGGCCTGTCAGCACACTCCATCCCTGCTTACTCGCTGTGTGACCTCAGGCAAGTTACTTAACCTATCTGAGCCCCAGTTTCTTCATTTGTGGCTTGAGGATAATAAAACTCTCCTTGCAGAATGATTTCAGTGATTAGAATCACTTGGACAGGTGACCAGCAGGGAGTCTGGGAGAGAGCGAGCCCTCAACAAGTGCTGCTATTATTATTAACAGTTAGCGCTTGGACAAGAACAGAGAGAGCCGACCAGGGAGTCCCTCAAGCCCAGGAAAACACACTGAGTCACTTGGCCAACTTGCTTAGCTCTCCATGGGGCGGCCATGCCCTGCCTGGCACCAGGCCGCCACAGACAGGTGTTGTGGGGCCACCCTTGCCCGGCTCCTGGCCCTGATCTGGCAGCTCAGCCAGATGACCTCTGAGAGCACAATTAGAAGCTGATTTGACCCTGAAGACAAACGTGATTGCAGACAGGTCTGAAGGGTTGCTTTGAACAGCATCCCCTTGTATGTAATTGAGCTTGCTGCATTCAGGATAACACAGGCGCAGACAATGGACTCCATCTCTGTCTGCCTCCCCTCGGTCTCAGTTTTAATTAAACAGTGAGGAGACCACAGTGTCTCCAGATTGCACTGGATTAGCCCCAAGCATTGCTGTGAAGCCATTTTCAGGCTCTTAAAATCCAAGCAAACAGATCTGTAAAAAAACAGATCTGGTCTTGTTAGAAGCACTCTTTCACTGTTGGGTATTTTTTTTTTCAGGTCGCTCATTACGTTAACATTTAACGTGGCTCCCTGAGACTCGGGA